GGTTGGAGCAGCACATGTGGGAGATGATTATGGGGAGTGTTCCGCTGATCAGTTTGCCACATGATTAGGTTAAACCAATAAAATGGCTAGCAAATAAACAATCAAGATTCCTAGAGTGCAACATTTTTTATAAAAGTAAGTCTAACATCTCCTATTAATCTGGGTCTCACCCATCAATACTATACCGTCCTCGTCCTTGATGCACCTCACTTGGTCCAAATCTCGAACCTTTCTCTCTGTCGCCTTGGCCAGCCGGAATAACTTCTTTTTTCCGCCTTTGTCCCCCAGTTTCTAGTACAAATGATCCAAAGCCGCAACCTTAGCCTCCGTAACCGCCAGCTTAGCCTCTTTCCTAGCTATCTTATACCTCTCCTTACCCTCTCTCCTCTCCTCCTCACATGTGCTCCCTACTAACTCCAGGTATGCTGCCTTCTTCGCTTTCAATTTACCTTGGACCATTTCGTTCCACCACCAGTCGCGTTTGTGCCCGCCAGAGTAGCCCGTCGAGAACCCTAACACCTCTCTCGCAGCCTCCCTTATACAGTCTGCCGTCGTCGCCCACATAACGCTCGTGTCCCCGCTACTACTTCAGACCCCCATAGCCACTAACCCCCCCTCCAACTCTTGAGCTTTATGCTTAGTCAAGGCTCCCCACCTGATCCTCGATCGTCCTTGTACAGACCTCTTCTTCCTTTTTAACATAATACCAACGTCCATCACCAAGAGCCTATGCTGTGTCGCGAGGATCTCACCAGGGATAACCTTGCAATCCTTGGCTTTAAATTTTTCTTTTTGGCTTTCATGATTATTATAATTAAGATAATTAGGAAAGAGGAGCCGTGGAGCAATGATAAAGTTGTATTCATTCGACCTATAGATCACATGTTCGAGTCGTGAAGTAGCCATAAATGATTGCATTAGTGTAAGTAGTCTATATCACACCACTTGCATCGGACCCTTCCCAAGTAAATGCGGATACCTTAGCACACTATGCTGCCTCTTTATACTTAAGGAATATGGTCGTTGCACCACTTCCATCTATTACATTCTTTTGCTTTTCATTCAAGCGCCATCTTTTTCTTTGTTTGCTTTTCCTTAATTTGATGGATCTTGTACCCAAAATTTGTTTAACTGATAAGATTTATCTAGTCACTAATATTAACTATTTGTAACCAAATACATACTTTTAGGTACCACTATTTCGTCGTTAATAGCTATTTTGCTTGTAGTGAATTTCGTTGAGCAACTTTATTCTAAGGTGAAAACGCATTCCCCTATCTTGTAAATGTAGAAATTATTTCCGACACATTTCATAAATTCAGTTGTTCAAATAAGACTTCATGTAGTTCCTCCAAAAAAAAGCAAAGGGCCAGCGTCGGTGGAAGTAGAGGGTAGGGGTTGGGGTAGAGGAATATTATTACCTGATACATTGGGACCATCATCAAAAAATTTGAAGGGCTATGTTAATAATGGTGGAAACAAAATTTTCACCAATAGAGTTCAATATTGATTGTGTATACATAAAAATTTAATTTGAAATATATAATGTGATTTTTAGGCGAAGAAAATATCATATGAACCCTTCCGCGCGTCGCTCTAGCTCCGCCAATGACTATATGAGCACAATATTACAGCCAACACGTTTTCAACAAATTGATTTGCAGTGAAGAATGAAACATTTGACGTGCATGCAATTGATGTTTGAAAATTAGGAAAATCTTAAAGTAAAGTGCATTATATAACATATCTAAAATATACAAAAAACATCTATAAAGATATGCTCCAAGTAAAGAATGGTATTGGATTGGTTTGGCCACCTCCATTATCTAGAGACTAGAGTGTGAACACTTGTTTAAGTTATTATTATTATTATTATTATTATTATTATGATGATGATGATGAGAATAATTTCAGTAATGATCTACATTGTCAATTGATTTGACCTGGTTCAGACGTGTCATTAGTATTAATGGCAATTTTGTCCAAGAATCTTCAAAAATCTCGAAGCACCCTTCTCATCATAACATTTCCGTTTTTCTTTAGTTTTCTCCTTTCCTGTATAGTGAGGAATATAAATTAGCCACATAAAAGAATAGTCCGGTGCATTAAGCTCCCGCTATGTGCATAATCCGAAAAATCGAACTTGATGATTTGATCCACATTCTGTATATGTTTTAAGAGAATCACAAAAATATAGACAAATATATTAACTTTCAAACCTTATTATTAGTACTTGAGCTTGTTGGTTTGGATTCTCGAACTCCTACAATTTTAATCATAAATCCACCTTTGACTCCAGTGCATTACCATTTCATTAAAATGTACTAAACGATGAACTACTAACTACTTCATCTGCTATGTCGTGTTTTCCTTTTACATGCCTCTTAAAAAATATTAATTAGGAAAAAAGATTAGACTATTTATTCTTATTTATGTCATAGGATATAATCTTTTTTCATTGAATATTTATTCTATTTATATGTTATCTCCATCATCAAGAATAATTATTACTAAAGGTAAAAAAAGAAAAAAAAATAATCAGTTTTGTCTTAAAATTATAAAATAACAAATAATTTGAGACAACTATTTTTAATAACCAAGAGAAAAACGGGACCAAAGCAAAGAAAAATAAGTATAGTGTTGCTATTCCAATTTCCAACCACCCGGCTTTCACATTTTCCAATTGTTATTTGTTTTTTTGGGTGGCTTCTCGCTTTCTTTTGTGTCACCTCCAATCACATTATTAAAGTTAAAATATCCCTTCTTGGTTTTAGAAAAATTACCAACACCCCACTCAATGACTCAAGCATCCTTAACTTTTTTTTTTCTACGACGATTGTGTTCGAGCATATAAAAAAGATATAAAAACATTTTACACATGAGTGTAATTTAACTCTTATTTCTACCTCATACTTCATATTTGTGTTCTACTGCTCTTCGTTTTAGTCGGTGTAAAAAGTTCTTGGCTTAATAGATGAAAGGTTGGAGCAGCACATGTGGGAGATGATTATGGGGAGTGTTCTACTGATCAGTTTGCCACATGATTTGGTTAAACCAATAAAATNATACCTTGCAGAAATTCCGAACTATCCGGTAAGTTTTTTTTTACCCCCCCCTCCCCCCGGCCAAGAGATCTCCTACTTTGCTCCATTGATGACTCAAAATGTTGAAAGTGGAGGATACGTACCATTTGAACAACTCTCTCTCTCGACTATTCGATGGCTTATTGTTCTGATTAATCTTAGTTTTTGTTAGGTAGGTCCATTGTAAAGAATAAAATGTGCTCTTTAATTAAATGTTTTTTGTTTCCGAAGCTCAAATTAGAAACTTTTGATTAAACGTGGAAGAATCTCTACCTCCCCACAGTAGAGATTGGTTGGTTTTATTTCCCAAGAAAATAGTTTTAAATCTCGAAAATTTCATTTTTATTGAAAAAACTCTTGGTTATATTCTAAATAATACTTCCTCTCGTCTACAATAAGTGATTTTTTGGTTATTTTCACACAGATTAAGAAATTCACCTTTTAATATTAAATAACAATGAAATTGACCATATTAACCTTTATTATCTCTTCACATAAACACTCCTAACACATATTCCAATACTATTTATTCCAAGGGCAATGTAGGAAAAGGATAATTAATTAATTCTTAAAATCTAAAAAAATCAGATATTTTAGACCACAAAAAAAAGATCAAAAAATTACTTATTGTGGACCGGAGGGAGCGGTAATGGAAGATACAGGTGAATCATTTGACAGATTCACAAGAAGAAAGGTCGTTTAACTTCTAGAGAAGGAGAAGCAAGCTCAACTTACAATAATCATAGCAATTAGGTCGAAAGTACTCGAATCTCTTCTTTATTTTAGAAGATAAGAAATGTGACGAATACTGGCTGTTAAAGCGTTTGAATCTTGAAAACCACGTAAATCTATGTATTTCCTAAAGCAAATATGAGCAAAGTTGTGTATTAAGGTATTTGCTTTCTCTTTAAAATAAAATTTCTAACTCCACTCTGACAAGTGAGACTTGCTCAGTTGGTAAAAGTACCGTCACCCACGACCATTAGGTCCTGGGTTCGAGTTACGTTGGTGGCGAAGTGTGGAAACACTATAGATCCTCCTAATTTGAGAGGGGTTTTAAAAAAAAAAAAAAAAAATC